CAAACATTTCTGTCATGGAGCTTCGCAAAATGGCACATGCTCGGAATGTTGGCCGTGGACCGGACAACAAGTGGCTTGCGGTTGGAGAGCTGCGCGCTCGATTGCTGGATGTCTTGGCACCACGCATGCAGGTCCGGTGGGGCAGAATAGGATTGTGACGAAAGTTGCGTGTTTGTCACATGGTGCAATGTTGTAGGATGATTGTTGTTTTGTGGTGGCAGTGTGTCGGATGCTGCAGGTGGAAGAGGCATCGGCTGCCGAATTGGAAGAACTTCGCCTTGGAGCTGTTTCAGAGGGCAAGGAGTGGCTCAGTCGTGCTTTGTCGGAAATGTCGGCTCGTCAGCTTCGAGTTCTGGCTGCTGCGGGTGGTGTGGAGACACGATCCGGCAAGGCGTGGCTGCCTGTAGCAGATCTGCGCACCTCGTTGATGAAAGTCTTGGAACCTTCCACGGAGGTTGGGTTCAACCAAAAAATGTGTTGTGACATGAGTTGTTTTTGTGACCGAATTTGAATGTTTGTCACATGGTGCGATGTTGTAGGATGATGGTGGTTTTGTGGTGGCAGTGTGTCGGATGCCGTAGGTGGAAGAGGCATCGGCTGCCGAATTGGAAGAACTTCGCCTTGGAGCTGTTTCACAGGGCAAGGAGTGGCTCAGTCGTTCTTTGTCGGAAATGTCAGCTCGTCAGCTTCGAGTTCTGGCTGCTGCGGGTGGTGTGGAGACACGATCCGGCAAGGCGTGGCTGCCTGTAGCAGAACTGCGCAACTCGTTGATGAAAGTCTTGGAACCCTCCACGGAGGTTGGGTTCAACCAAAAAATGTGTTGTGACATGAGTTGTTTTTGTGACCGAATTTGAATGTTTGTCACATGGTGCGATGTTGTAGGATGATGGTGGTTTTGTGGTGGCAGTGTGTCGGATGCCGCAGGTGGAAGAGGCATCGGCTGCCAAATTGGAAGAACTTCGCCTTGGAGCTGTTTCACAGGGCAAGGAGTGGCTGAGTCGTTCTTTGTCGGAAATGTCAGCTCGTCAGCTTCGAGTTCTGGCTGCTGCGGGTGGTGCGAAGACAAAGTCCATGCTGGCAGTGACCAGGGGCGAATCCATGCACGTGCTCTTTCATTGCTTTGGAGGCATCAATCGAAGCGCTGGGGCTTTATGTGCTTGGCTCGTCGTGGGTTACAACTACCCTGCAGAGGATGCCGTCCAGTTGCTGCTTAAGAAAAGACCTTCCTTGCGCCCTTGGCACAATCGCCCCTATGTCTTGGAGGCTTTGTGGCAGCTGGAAGGTTTGCGGGCCGAGTGGCACATGGAACTGAGCGCGGCGTGCACAAATTGATTTGCACCACTGTTCGCCTGGAGAAACTGTTCGTGGCGAACGTGGTAGATCAGTAGCCAACTGTTGTTTGTCTGTAAAAATTGTTCGATCCTGTAGGGACATCGAAGAAATGGAGTGCAACAGGTGTTATCTATGCCATCATGCTATCGAACTTGTTTTTGTGGAATCATTCACTGCGTACACAAACGAATTTGCACCACTGTTCGCCTGAGGAAACTGTTCGTGGCGAACGTGTTACATGAGTAGCCAAGTGTTGCTTCTCTGTAAATATTGTTCGATCCTGTAGGGACATCGGAGAAATGCAGTGAAACAGGGTGTCGTCCAGGCCATCATGATATCGAACTTGTTTTGGGCCCGGAATCATTCACTGCGTTCACTTGTTGTTTTTTGGATACCAATTTTTAAACATTTCCAATCCAAAGCTGTGTTTGCGCACCTTTGTTTGGAAGTGAGGTCATACACGGCATCATGGTACCGGGCTTATTTGCTATGTCAAACTCCGGAGTCGTGTTTTCAGTTTCGAATTGAAAGAGCAGATGCTTCGCATTGGATTGTGTGTTATACATTTTTTTGCCTCAGATGTAAACGCATGGACCAGATGCTACATCTGCAGCATCATGGTACCGACCTTTGCTTGGAAGCAGCTTGTGGGAGCTGGAAGGCTTGCATACCGGGTGGCACTGAGTGCAACTGGCGCAAATTAATCTGTAGCACTGTTCGTCTGGAGAGACTGTTCGTGACGAACATGCAAAACCAGCATGTTCGTCTGGAGAGACTGTTCGTGACGAACATGCAAAACCAGTAGCCAACTGTTGTTTGTCTGTAAAGTTTTTTTTTCCATCCTGTAGGGACATCGGAGAAATGCAGTGAAACAGGTGTTATCCTTGCCATCATGATATCGAACTTGCTATCATTCACAGCATTCTTGCACGGAGTTCTAGTTTCTTACGGAGCCTTTGTTTGTGTACTTTTGCATTTTGTAGCATTTCCATTGCGACTATGTTTGCCCACCTTTGTTTGCAACTAAGGTCATCCACGGCATCATGGTGCCGAGCTTCTTTTGTATCTCAAAGGTCTTTGTGTGGAAATGCGTCTGACCTCTCTCTCTCTTTATCTCTTCCCCCTCTTTCTCTCTGTGGTTCCACGACACATGTCATCTGATGCCCTTTACCCAATAATCTCTTCTTGATCAATTTTACTTTTTTACATCATGTCTTTCCATAGCTCATTTAAAATTCACCAATAAAATTCACCAACTATTCACCGACTATCTTTTACGACTACCATACTCAGAGCTGCATGCTTGAAACACATCTTTTTCGCTCTCGGGCCAACCGTCGTCTAGTTCCTCAGTTTTTGACGTCCAACGTCCATTTCGTGCGAAAGGGTTGCGATGGACACCTCAAAGTCGCAATTTTTCCTCAGTTTTTGACGTCCAACGTCCATTTTGTGCGAAAAGGTTGCGATGGACACCTCAAAGTCGCAATTTTTCCTCAGTTTTTGACGTCCAACGTCCATTTCGTGCGAAAGGGTTGCGCGCGACACCTCAAAGTCGCAATTTTACCTAGGTTTTTGACGTCCAACGTCCATTTCGTGCGAAAGGGTTGCGATGGACACCTCAAAGTCGCAATTTTTCCTCAGTTTTTGACGCCCAACGTCCATTTCGTGCAAAAGGGTTGCGCGCGACACCTCAAAGTCGCAATTTTTCCTCAGTTTTTGACGTCCAACGTCCATTTCGTGCGAAAGGGTTGCGCGGGACGCATCAAAGTCGCAATTTTTCCTCAGTTTTTGACGTCCAACGTCCATTTCGTGCGAAAGGGTTGCGCGGGACGCTTCAAAATCGCAATTTTACCTAGGTTTTGGACGTCCAACGTCCATTTCGTGCGAAAGGGTTGCGTTTCGTGGCACTCCGGCGGCACCGCCCCCGCCTTAAGAGAGAATAGAAGAAGAGCGAGAGGAGATCTGCAGATGTGAAGGTGTGAAGATCTAGATCTGCAGGTGTGAGGGTGTGAAGATCTAGATCTGCAGGTGTGAGGGTGTGAAGATCTAGATCTGCAGATGTGAAGGTGTGAAGATCTAGATCTGCAGGTGTGAGGGTGTGAAGATGTAGATCTGCAGGTGTGAAGGTGTGAAGATCTAGATCTGCAGATGTGAGGGTGTGAAGATCTCTAGATCTGCAGATGTGAAGGTGTGAAGATGTAGATCTGCAGATGTGAAGGTGTGAAGATGTAGATCTGCAGATGTGAGGGTGTGAAGATCTAGATCTTCACACCTGCAGATCTAGATCTTCAGATGTGAAGGTGTGAAGATCTAGATCTGCAGGTGTGAGGGTGTGAAGATCTAGATCTGCAGATGTGAAGGTGTGAAGATCTCTAGATCTGCAGATGTGAAGGTGTGAAGATCTAGATCTGCAGGTGTGAGGGTGTGAAGATGTAGATCTGCAGGTGTGAAGGTGTGAAGATGTAGATCAGCAGATGTGAGGGTGTGAAGATCTAGATCAGCAGATGTGAAGGTGTGAAGATGTAGTATAACGGCTGCTTTTTACGAAGAACCCTTCGCAGGCGCTCTCGGGAAAAAAGTAAGGTAAAGTAAAGTAAGGAAAAGTACGGCAAGGAAAAGTAAGGAAAGGTAAAGTAAGGTAGAGTAAAGTAAGGTGAGGCAAAAAATGTAAGGTTGAGTAAGGTAAGGTAAAGTAAGGTGAAGGAAGGTAAGGTAAAATAAGGTAAGGTAAAGTAAGGCAAGTAAGGTAAGCAAGGCAAGGTAAGGTAAGGTAAGGAAAGCTAGGTAAACTAGGTGAGGTAAGTAAGGTAGGTAAGGTAAGTAAGGTAGGTAAGGTAGGTAAGGTAGGTAAGGTAGGAAAGGTAGGCAAGGTAGGTAAGCAAGTATGCAAGTACGCAAGTAAGCAAGTAAGCAAGTAAGCAAGTAAGCAAGTAAGCAAGTAAGCAAGTAAGTAAGTAAGTAGGTAAGTAGGTAAGTAGGCAAGTAAGTAAGAAAGTAAGTGAGAAAGTAAGGAGGGAAGTGAGTAAGTGAGAAAGTGAGAAAGTGAGAAAGTGAGTAAGTGAGTAAAAATTAAGTGAGTAAGTAAGTGAGTGAGTGAGTGAGTGAGTGAGTGAGTGAGTGAGTAGGTGAGTGGGTGAGTGAATCAATGAATGAGTGATAGAGTGAGCGAGCGAGTGAGTGGGTAAGTAAATAAGTGAGTAAGTGAGTAAGTGCGTACGTGAGTACGGGAGTAAGAAAGTAAGTCAGTAAGTAAGTAAGTAGGTAGGTAAGTAAGTAAGTAAGAAAGAAAGTAAGTAAGAAAGTAAGTAAGTAAATAAGTAAGTAAGTCTGTCAGTCAGTAAGTAAGCACGTACGTGGGTACGTACGCAAGCAAGTAAGTCACTCAGTCAGTCAGTAAGTAGGTAGGTAGGTAAGTATGAAAGAAGTATGTACGTGCGTACGTACGTAATTAAGTAAGTCGGTCAATCAGTAAGGAAGTAGGTAGGTAGGTAGGTAGGTAAGTAAGTAAGTAAGAAAGTAAGCAAGTAAGTAAGTCAGTCAGTAAGTAAGTCAGTCAGTCAGTCAGTAAGTAAGTAAGTAAGCCTACTGTATGGCATTGTATTGTGAACTCTTTGCGCCTACCTACCTGGAAGACAGCAGCTGTATAATGCTTCTAACTGTTGCTTCATTCACCTAATGAGCCCTTGATTTATCGCTTTACAAGGAACACATCGTGTCCTGGTCGTGTGCCTCGTGTCTGTGCTGTATATAACCACCCTCCACACGGCATTTTTCTTGGCATCTTGTGTTCGCTGGCGATCCTCGTATGAGAGCTCCTCATCATCTCGTTGAAAACACGTAGGGTCCAACTTGAGCCGATGGTGCAACCTACGCGGCATGCACGGCCCCACAGCTGGTGGAAAGAAGCTGTGACAGCCCTCAACAAAGCCCCATGCATTCTTCAGACTTTCAACCAACTGCTACTGTTTTCTCGCAGCAGTATATATCAAATTATATAAATATATAACTCTTCCCGACGGCCTGAACAAATCCACTCCTCGCCCTTCGCCTCTCACACGCGTGTCTAATGCTATTTCGCCATGCCGTCAAGTCTCATATCATGTGACATCACGCTGCAGCCAAAGAAAGCAAGGCCTGGACACACATTGCCTGAGTTCACTCTGATCTGCAAGTGCAAGGTGCTGTATTGTGGTCGAACCTGGCAAATCAGACTGCGTGCCCTTGCCCCAACACTTCTGCGCAAGCCCCTTGCAATCATTCACAAATCTCAGAAACTGGCTGGATAGTGAAAACCAGCTGAAACATGGGCACTTGGAAGGGACTCACCGAACCTGCCGTCGCTCAACTCATTCATAGGCATGGTTCCGCCACGTGTTCAATTCACAAGGTCGCATCCAGTAAGCCAGCCACATGCGTTCCAAGTACTTTCTGATCCCAGCAGTGAGGGCATCGAGCAACCTGCGGGGGCGTGCTGCAACAAAAGCGCTCTTGGCCAAGGACACGCAAATTTTGATGACAAAAGGACCGCTCTTGCAGCACTGTGTGTGCACGTCAATCTGAGAACGAAAAATACTTGCAGACCAGCGCAGCATGATTTTGGGAGACTCCGCGTCTGAAATTTCTACACCTGCTATTTCTGCAGCCTAAGAGCCAAAACAACAGGTTGACGATTTTCATTTGCTTGCGATTTCTTGCGCTTTACGTTGCCTCGCAGTCGCGTCGGATTTCTGATGGAGCAATATACATGAGCTGCCGCCTAAGGTCTTCTTGATATCTACTGACATGGTCTTTGTAGGTATCAGGGGGTCCATTTCCCGATGTACCATGTCGTGCCCCTATGTTTCGACCACTGATGTTTTCTGTTGCGGCTCTTTTCACTAACCCCGGCAACAGGCACGACCCCTTGTGATGCTTTTTGGTTGTTGGCAAGGTGAACTTCAGACGTCTATGATTGGATCGACCTGGGCTGCCCTTTGTGGAGGCACCTGCAACCTTTGTTTGTTGGCAGGCTGTTGCTTTCCTCCTTGTTTTCACTAACCCCATTGCTCTGTAAGTTACCTCCCTCCTGGGCGGGCGCCCTGCGAATTCCTATAGGGACGACCGTGCTCAAAAAAGTCACCACAATCATGGGAGCGTCTACAGTGTACAGCGCTAATTATTTCTGTGAACTTGCAAAGGGCAAGCCAACATGCGCAAGATCAATGCCCAGCAATCTCAGGACGCAATACAAAGCAAACATAAAATTATTGAAAAGATTGTCTCGGGGCAAGCTGAGCTAAGCAAAAAGAAGAAAAAAAAAGAGCAGAAGGAAAACGAAGGGTCGAGGCATAAGGCATTCTAAGGTCTTGAGGAAATTGGCCTGTGATTCCAATTTTTGGTTGGCTGGTTGATACTTCAGGCTGGGTTGCTCTTGTTGTTCAATTTTGAGCTGCTGAGCAACTGCTTGCTTTCTTGCTTGCTTGCTTGCTTGCTTGCTTGCTGCCTGGCTTCCTCAGTGGACTGGACAAGAATGTAAATTAATGTTTGCATTTTCCAAACTTGGCTGATATGATGACGCCAAAACTCCGGACTGGTTACTTGATTGCCCGGTCAGCCAACGGGCTGGCCATAATTTGCGAACCCTTTCCTCGCACCTTCTTCTTGACAAGAATAGCGCTGGGTGCGCGTACATCTACAGTATCTATCCCATTCCTCTCGAAATACAGTACGTAAGTTGCCTTGCACTATTTAAAGGCGTCCTCAGTTTGATTGCGTGAAACGCTTCTGGGAAGGAATGACAAAGAAGGACAAGCAACTTCGAGCCCGGCAAGCATACAGCGGCCTGACGTGAGCCACGCCACACAAGTCCCGGTAGGTATGCAAATACCCAGGCTGCCTCCACAGTGAGCCACGAGTGAAAGCAGTCAACGGGAATACATAAGGATCTAGATACAGTGTCCAACTGTGCCCCTGGCTTCTGAACTTGGGAATATCCAAAATCGCCAGGTGCACCGACCTGATCATGCCCACAGAAGCCCTAGTGTGGTGGAACAGAATCCCATCCTACGCCCTGGTACTCTTCATCATGCTGTGGAGCGCCGAGACTGATAATTGACTGAGAGGCAAGCTCCGGACTCCAAGTCGCCTCGCCAGAAACTTTGCAAACATTCAACAACATGTCCCTTAATCGCTTCGCACCATACTGATTCAACCCACCCCGAATTCGATGATGGCTCCGTTGAGGCAACAGAGCGGAAGTAGCAAAAGACAAAACAGCCGCCTCGTTCTCATTATGGGCAACTTGCTTTTGCGCAAGGAACCCAGCGTCCAGGCACTACTGTAAATTCGGAAGCAACACCCACGCTACGTCATCCGAAGACTGGCTGTTGGTGCGCTTCTTCAAAGACTGTTTTTTTCCACGCGAGTAGAACAATGTGAACAAAGCACCAGACCCAGGCCCCCAAATCAGGATGCATATGTGCATGCATTTACAAGTGCCATGTGCGAATACACATGATATTAGGTTTTTAATTGTTTTTACACATATTTGGATTTACGTCACGTATGCAAGGGGGCCCACATGCTTTCACTGGTCGATTTTGACAAGATACAGCTATGCACGTGTTTACAAATATACATCCTTCATGCGCCATGTGCCGCCGCAGCTAAACAGACCTGTGGCCGAGCCTCGTCTACGCGGCTAAATTTCTACAAGTGTGTCTGTCATCCCGGAGCATTCCAAAGCAGTGCCCAGGTTCTCTGAAAACCAATCAACTTGAGGGGCCTGTCTATGCAGCAAGAAACTGGAAGCGAGGCAGTTTCTTCAATGATTCTCTATTTTAAATGAGCTATATTCAAAACGTTGCTAATGATGATTAAACATGTTTAGACGTATTGTACAAGGGGGTTGTACGTGCGTACGAACGTGCGAAAAGTGGGCGTGTGAGCGGATGCAAGGGCGAACGGGCAAAAGATGAGAGGCGTGCGGGCAAAAAATGTGTGGGGCCCAGGCGTATGGGCAAAAGATGTGGGGCGTACGTGAGGCGTAAGTGATGAGTGCTTGACGAGTGATGAGACAGACCTGCACTGGCGCTTTGGGTTGCACATGTTTACATATCACTCCTACCTCAATGCCCCCCGAAATAATGCACGATAATTAGTTCAAAGGGGTTTGACGTAAGTTGGGTTTCACAACGTTAGATGGGACTACCTGGAAATAAGTTCCCATCCTACCTCCCCCCTTAAAATGTATTTCACCAATAGTTGTTGATTATTTTGACGTGATTCTTTTGAATGGGTTGCCGCATGCCGAACTTCAATCCAAGGTGCCCGACAACTCCCCTCCATCCCCCCTTCCCACCTTCCACCCCAACCCAATCTTCAAAAAAATGTTTCGGGGTGCCTGAAGAGTATGCCCCGTCAATATACCTCAGAAATTTCAGAATAATAAAAAATGGTTCTGGATTGTTCTGGCATACCTTAAGTTGAAATTTAAAGAATTATATACTTCCGGACCTCAATGAGATATATGGGATTTTAGAATAATATCTAAGAATCTAACAAAAGGATATCCCTATCGAAAAAATCTAGCGACAAAAGGGGATGCATAGCACTGCGTAGCCTACCGAAACTGACTTGAAGAAAATCACAAAGTACATCATCAGGGAATCCTGCACAATGTTGGTTTTGCAAGAGTGGATTTTTTTTATGTTGCTTCATGTTGTTTCTTAGGATCGACGCGTTGGGAATCCTAAAGCACAAATACATAAGTTCAAACATCACGTTTCATGTCCGCTCTCTGCTAGTCATGGTAGAACCCCCCCTCACTTTCAGTTGCACCAAGAACGCATCAAAACTTGCAACACGCAACCAAAAACGTTCTTTAAGACATTATTCTACGGATATTGGAGATGCCCTGCGCTCCTCAAAAACCAAAGTGGGCAGCTGCCAGAACCACCCAGCTTGCTCAGAAGCTGGGAAAAAGTCAAAAACCTATAAAAACCGAACGCTTCCCATCGAGAGTTCCCTGGAAGGAAATGAAAGGAATATGGAAGAAATAGGGGGAATATGAAAAGTTGGGAAAACCAGTAGGAACTGGCCAGGTAGCTGCCAGCCCGGAAGCTGGAAAAACGTCACAAAAAACCTACGAAAGCGTTTGCCCTTTCTCACTCATTCCCGCCAAGGCGACTGAGAGTTCTTGAGAAGGAAATGAAGGGAATATGAAAGACATTGAAAGACATGCATTCCTCAAAAAAGTTGCAAAAACCATCAAAAACCCAGCACTGTTGATCTCCGCAAGCCGAGCTCGTTGGAGGGAGACGGAGGGAACATGGGAGAATAAATAGGAGACGTATGAAAATTTGGGACTTATGTAGGAAATGGCAAGTGATGAAGATGATGGTTGAACACCATTTTTCGCGAATTCCCAAGGGGAGAAGGTATTATAGGGCTTTTTCGACCACTTGAAGTTTATATGAAATTTGTCTTCCAGGGTATGTTGAGGGAGGGGTTAGATCATGATTCGCATATTCCAACATATACATCCGTAGACCCACCCCTTGCGAAAATTATTCAACAAAAACTATTTTAAACACAATGTTCCAGAACCTGGTTGATACTCTCGAATAATTTTGTAAGGGATGGAATATCCAGAAAAAATGTTTCGAAAAAATTATTCCATCACGCTGAATATATTATTTTAGCGGGGCCTGACCCCACTAAAATACTTCCCATTGAACATTATGGCACCTGGCACAGGTTTGATTGATATTATCTTAACCCCCTCTTGGAAATGGCAAAAATCCAAGATTATTTTGAACAATTATCTTGGTATGTGACCCCCGCCCCAAAATAATTTACTAAGGCAGCAATGATGTTACATGTAAGATCGTCCGCATGCGTGTATGCACACATGACCGCATGTACACACGTACGCACCCACGTACGCTTGTGCAAGGTTCCGGTTATTCAATGAGGTCAATACTAAGTTTACAAAATATGTATCGGGGTTTTCGGTCGTACAAAAATAAGCTATATAGAATTTAATGCCTTATGAGGCACTAAATGCTAGTTGATTTTTTGTGCGACCGAAAGTCATGCGTACGTACGACCGAGCGTACATGTGAACGTGCATGCGTACGACCGAAAATGCATGTGAAAACACATATTAAGACCGGACGAACATGTGAACATGCGTAGGTACGACCAAACGGGTTACATGCGTACGACCAAAGACATAAAAAACACATGTTTTATATTGAATACTTGAATATTTTCTGTTCGGAAAGGCTTGTTGTGAGCGGCGAATTTCAAGTTTTTGGGGTAGACATTCAGTGAAGAAACCCACGCTCACAACAGTTCGTTCTGAATGTAGGC